GTAGTAATCTCACAGAGGGCGCAAGTTTACCAACCCCATATAATTGCTCAGCCTGCTGTTCAGGTAACAGGTTTTTGTATATCTGTAGTTACACTATAGTTCTGTTATCAAAGCTTATGGAGTAACATTCTCAAAATAATTACATTGACTGCAGGCAGTGCCAGTTGCTCAGCAACTGGAGGCAAAACCCCAGACAGGACAGGCCTCGGGCATCGAAGTGGTGTCTGCACCCTTTGCCGCTGTAACTGCTGCTGCTGCCACTGTTACCACTGCCACTACATTAACAACCTCTGGACAAACAGCTGTTACCACCACTGGTAAGAACACACAAGATCCCTTTTAAAACTTGTTCTGTTTAAGGGTAACATGAAATAAAGGACAAAATAAATCCACTTTAGGCTGTTGTCATGTAATACAGTGTTTACCTAGGTAGAACTTGAAATGGCGAGAGCTGAGAATTTGATTCTGATTAGTTTGAGAGTAAGGCTTTGTTTCTCACCTTTTAACTTTGTTGAATATACAGTATATCTACAGATAAGGCAGTAATAACTAGACGTTTGATGTGACAAATGTGGACTAGTGTACTTTTTTTTTACTGCTAGAGCGTAGTTGTGTAAAATAAATGAGCTCAAGAGCAAGGGACCCTCTGACCACTCATAGATTTATTAATGCATCTTAATGCAATGCATCTTCTTGTTAGATGCTAAACAGCATTTCATTGCCTTGTACTTGTACATGGGTAGTAGCAAAGTTGAATCTAATCTAATGCATTATCAATGACTAAATCTGTGTTTAGTTAATGCATTTTTACAGCAACTGTTACTAATGTTATGATCCATAATTGACAGCTGTCCCTGATACATCCACCTACCAATATGACGAGTCCTCGGGCTACTATTATGATCCACAAACTGGCCTCTACTATGACCCAAACTCACAAGTAAGTAGTGTACAACCATCATGTGGGACTCAGTTTTCTATTACATTGATATGAGGCACTGTTGGTTTGATTATGTACATTGGCATTTGTTTCCCTTCAGTATTACTACAACTCTCAGACCCAGCAGTATTTGTACTGGGACAGTGAGAAACAGACATATGTACCTGCCCCAGCTAATGCAAATACTGGACAAAATGAAAACACAACAGGCAACAAAGAGCCTAAAGAAGGCAAGGAGAAAAAGGAAAAGCCCAAGAGCAAGACGGCTCAGCAGGTAATGTTCTTTAATATCTGTGTAGACTTTTCGAAATGCATTTTATTTCTGAGTTCCTTTTTAAGATTTTCACTTCATGTTCAAATCTCATTGTTTCAGATTGCTAAAGACATGGAACGGTGGGCAAAAAGTCTCAACAAGCAGAAAGAGAACTTCAGGAGTAGCTTTCAGCCTATTAGTCAGGAAGAGAGGAAGGAGGCAGCAGCAGCTGATGCTGGATACACACTGTTTGAGAAGAAGGTAATCAAGTAGGATTCAGTACCTGCAAATGCTCTTGGATTGCATTTGTAAGTGTTAGAATATTATGTGTCGAATCCATCGACTTATTTATTTTTAGCAGGCTGGAAGTCTGGATAGACTAATGCTAGAAGTGTCAAGGGCTCCTGAAGAGGAACCACCAGCCAGCTTTTTCAACACTTCCAAAGTGAGTGTTTTGTGTATCTCTGAAGACTGGATTTTTCCTTTGCAGTATTATAGAGATAATTGTCAAAGCTGTTTTTGTGGCAGTTTAAATGTATGTACTCAGTTATATTCAGGTGGTGTTTCTGTTATTATTACAACACTAATTACACCTGCCTTTTGTTTTTCTGTGCTCTGGTTAGTGTGGCCTCGTGGCAGCCTACAGTGGAGACAGTGACCCTGAGGAGGGGGTAGCAGATCCTGATGGTGGCGACGGAGGCCAGGACAAGCTCACAGACTGGAAAAAGTTGGCCTGCTTGCTGTGTAGGAGACAATTCCCCAACAAAGAGGGTCTGATTAGACATCAACAACTCTCTGATCTCCACAAGGTAACTGGTACACACATACTGTCTAGGGGGGGGACTATCTGCAATGGAAAACAAAGCACTTGGTACCAAAAGTGAATTGAGCTGGAACCAGGCAGGGGAAAGGGGGATAAAGTTATAAAACCATTCATTTGAGTTATTCATCCGTTCTTAGAAAAACCTGGAGGTTCTTCGCAGATCTAAAATGAGTGAAGCAGAGCTGGAGGAGTTGGAGAGGAAAGAGACAGAGGTCTGGCCCATTACAGAATCTACCTGTAGCCAGTGAGTCATGTTTCCCCTTAATGTGACTGCATTTTAAATGGTCTTATTCCTCTGGAGAACAGATGAAATATAGAGACAGAGCAGCTGAGAGGAGAGAAAAATATGGCATCCCTGAACCACCTCCGCCCAAAAAGAAGTTTAGCCAACCAACACCAGCCATGTAAGCAGTGCCTTGTTTAAAGTACTGGAATGTGTAAAACACAGTTTTCCAGTCCTTGCATGGCTCAAGTTGTTCATTTTGTTTGTTTTTATGTCCCTTTTTCCTGGGCAGTAACTATGAACAGCCGACTAAAGATGGGCTTAGCAGTGACAATATTGGGAACAAAATGCTGCAGGCCATGGGCTGGCAGGAGGGGAAAGGACTTGGTCGTAACCAGCAGGGCATCACTGCACCGATTGAGGTATTTGTAACAACTTGCTCTTGTCAGGGTGCATGCAGTGTATCAGCCAGTATATGTGTAAAAAGTCATTTATTTGTGATTGTTCTTCAGGCACAGCTGAGAACAAAAGGAGCTGGACTTGGCACTAAAGGCACCAACTACACCCTCTCTGCTTCTGACACATATAAAGACGCAGTCCGTAAAGCCATGTTTGCTCGTTTCACTGAATTGGAATGAATTATTATACTCAAGCTCAGGTTGTCGTCTTTTTGAGGAGGTGGCGCTCCATTGTGTCTGCATCACCCACGGCCATGAACTGGCATGAGCGTCTAAGAAGGATTCTTTTTTTTTTTTTGTTACAATAGTGAATAATTTATAAATGTACATATGCACAGTTACTTCTATAGTTTACACATTTCTTTTACAATTCTGTGTTAATGCAGTTTTTGTCAGCATGTGAGAGTGTACAGTTTATACAAAATCTTTGTACAGAAAATAAATGACAAGTGATACTCATGGTCTTCATGTGTTAGATGGTGGGTTGTTTTTAAACATTGCTCTATACATGGATGACAAACAGCAGGCAGTGGTGAATTTACAAAAGGGGAACTAGAGGTACCATCACTCTGCACTGCACTAGAAGCAGAAGTAAGAATGATCCTTGGGGTTCTGTGCAGGTAAAGCCTTTTTGTTTAGGTTTTTTTTTGGGGGGGGGCGGGCAGCACCAATCACTACTTTGAAAATCTAGTCCACAAAACAAGTCACATGAAACAGCTGAATGGTGCCACCAGGGCTGATAATGGGGTGAACGTGATGCCCTGTTCTCTCATTTGAACAGTTGATGGTTGTGGTCTTGCAGACTAAAGCAGTTAGTACACATTCCCTTCTTTAGCACACATCCTCTTCTGTGAGCAGTTGCTGATGATCATTTTTGGTATTAAATTGTAGAGCTCACATCTTTCATACATGCCAACATAGAGCAGCTGTGCATTGTTCAGATCAGTGATAATACATGAGTGCTACATATACCGGCTTGTCATTTTAATAATGGATAACAAGCACAAGTTTCAGGGAAGGTTGCTTGGTGTCTCCTTCTCTACCTGACTTGCATCATCCCCCATTTATTCACAGTTGAAACTTGTGACATTTTAGGAATCTGCTGCCTGTTACTGTGTGAAGAAAGACTGACTCGCTGCATCGCGTGCTTGTCCGTCACTAAATAATTTAGCTTTAGGGTGTTGTAGTGAGTCTGTCCTTCCGATAGAGGGCGGTAAAAGCCATCCACCCCGTCGAGGTTCCCTTCAGCAAAACTAAACGTTTTCCAACTCCAGAAATTAAGTTGTTGACCTTGCACTCTAATCTTCCTGTACAGGTGATATGAAAAATATATTTCTCCAATGAGACAAAGAACCAGATACAAAAAATGTCTTTAGTGTATTATTGCATAGTTTAACAGTGACATACCACGGGGAGGCAATGATGGTCCTTGGATGTTCCTGGTAATTATTTTTTCCTCTTCTAAATACAAAGCATGACACAGTGCTGTACTGTAAACTTCACCTTGTCCCATTCTATGTTAAAAATACTGACAAGGGTGACACCTTAATGCATATACACTGCTCAAAAAAACAAAGGGAACACAAAAATAAGACATTCAACTATGTTGTGTTCTCTTTATTTTTTTGAGCAGTATATTTTAAATGTGCTATCCCTTCTGTTGTATGTTAAATGTATACCAGAATCTAGTCAGTCTCACATTCTGTTCAGGCCTGGTCCCTGAACAAGGTCGCAGGGGGCTGGAGCCTATCCCAGCTCACACTGGACAAGAGCCAGGGTATACCCTGGGTGGGTCGCTAGTCTATCACAGGGCTGGTACATAAACAGACAGCCACACACCCTTGGTGTAAGTACGTTATGTAGTAATATGGGTGTGTGCATGTGTTCATTCTTAGTGTTGTCACAGTGGGACGTTTCTCAAGCTTTGATAAAACACTCCAAAGAAACACTTGATATATAAAAATGATTTTTAAACCTTTCATGCCATCTTCCAATCATACTTCCCTGTAATTTCTTTTTCATGCAGTGTGTCTCATTTTTCAATTAGCATCAAAATGTGTAATAATGAGGTTTCTCTGTCCATCATTGTGCATTATCTGGTTTGCCAATCATTAGTTTGAACCCAGATGATTAGAGGTCAGTCTTTAAACACACAGTTGGCTTTGACACATCAATGACGCTGTCCATGTCCTTGGATATTTGCCAAGTCTTTATGGAAGTTCATGAAAACAATCTGTGTTGAGATTTTGTAGCTTTTGTTTAAAGAGATCATTGCCCTGACTTCAAGATCTTTGTGTGCCCATTTTTCAAGGAAAGAACAGAGATAGATGAGAAGAACATTCAGGCATCCTGAGGATGGGGAATGAAAGGCTGTATTAATATATTAGATACCGTATGGTTCCCATTGTCAGACTAAGAAGTGAACAGTAGGGTGCCCTCACCTGAGTCTGTAAATTATAAGTCATGCTGTACCTTCACACAAAGAGGTAGTCAGTTTGCCTGTCTCTGTGCTGGAGGACCTTATGTAACACAAAGTGTGTTCCTCAATGAAACATAACACTTTATTTCATGGACCTCACAGTGCCCTTGCCCATGATATTTTCACCACTCAGAGAACCTCACACCCTCCCCTGTTACATTATTATATTGTAGCAGTACTACAGCCTAACACCTGTGGCCTGAAGTGGAAACTCTGCTGTTATATTCCCATTCTGCTTTCTCAGTAACGTCACAAAAATCAAATGTCTATCTACAGCCTAACAAAGAGGAGCCATATCACCTGTCTATTAATAGTCTTACATAATTCTTTTAAATAAACAAAAGGTTGATAAAGTGCTTGGCAGGGATCAAGTTCCACTCATTGCTTAAGCACATTTTGGCTGAGGTGTGCCGAGTATTAGAACGTCAGCAAGGAGGGGGTCAAAGTTCATGGCAATGCTTTCAACATTTTGCGGCAGCCAAATGATTCCTTTAAATGTAATTTATAATACATAAGATATGCAAATAATATAATTCCAGTGCCACATGGGATCCCATCAGGCAGCACCAGGGAAGTCTGCTTTTCTTAAGGATCTTGAACCTACATGGCCTCCATTTGTTCTGTGAATACTCTGTATTTCTTCATTGCACACTGTCTACATGCTGACAAACACCAAACCTAAAACCCCAGGTGGAGAATAGAATGTGATAAATATATAGTAATATATCAAAATAAGTAATAAGTACAAATTTATGAAAAAGGCAGAGGGCTGTTTGTTCTGAAAGTAGAAGGAAGGTTCTTCTAACCAGCTAGATGAAAATGTATGTCAATTACACAATAAAAAAGATATTTCCTATCCAATTAGCCATTGGTGGTATATATCATTTACTATCTCTGAACAGAAGGAAAAAAGGAACGGTATTATTTTATATGCAAATTTTAAATAACAGATAGTAACATGAGAGGCACAAAGTGGGGCCATTCTGTCTAGTCTGGTGACAGTACTCAAAATTGTTAATTTCTAGAAAAGTTAGAAGCTAAGGTATTGGTGCTGATTTGACATATATAGATGGAGGAATATATTTTACAACACAATGACATTTTGTACTCCCACATTATGAAAACGTTTTCCTGTAAACAGTACTGCGAAAACAGAATCTAAGCAACCTGGACCAGAGCGAAAGTCAAGAAACAAGGATGCAATGTGTCAAGTGTCTTCTGTTGTACACAATGACTGAGTGATTGTCAGATATGAATGTTGGTGTGTGGCATGTCAGATTCATATCTTCAGCCTGCTACAGACAGTAGCTACAGTCTCAGTCATGATGACAGAGACACCGCTTATGCTAATTTCACAGAATCTGATGTGTTGGTTTTATTATATATGTAAGTAAATACAGTTTAAATACACTTTAAATGCCTTTTTAATATCATAAAGTACATTTAGTTGAAAACCAGAAGTCCCAAATGTGACTTTAAGCTTTTCTCAATCACTATACATTTACAAGTGACCTTTGAAGAAATATAAAAGACAAGTTATACAGTATAATACACAGATGGGTGACAAATGAGAGGAAAGAGTATAAAGTTGTCTTATACAATTTTACTCCTATGTTGCTTTTGTAATTGTGTTTTATGGTGTCTACTCAACACCACACTCATATAAACAAGGTTTATTAGTATTATCGGGTATCTAACTACATAGTAACCTGTGCCAGAAGTTGGGTGAGCATTTCCTATGGAAGCACAGTATTAATGATAAATGATATCAAGCGATAGCATTTTATGGTTTAATGCTCTATACCTGGTTTCAGTGTATTTATGTTTTCTCTTGTGTAGTGTTTTGTTACTACCTCTTTTAATTTATCTTTTTTGTTATATTCATAACAGGTTCTTGTGCTGTTTTATGATCTAAAGACAATTACTGCACTACATTACTAACAATGTTTTCTGTTCTATTTCTGATACAGTTATTATTTCAGTTATAGATATCTTATAATTGGTTTACCGATCACCTGCATCATGCCATAATCATCATCAGAATAACATTTTTAAATAAAAAAAACGTGAAGTTTGGTTCAACTTGTTTTTTAACTATGTAAAATTAATTAGATAAGGAATTTTCTCTCCCAAAGGCAAAAATGACCTCCTGACCTCTGCTCTCCCATAGCAAGAGCCAACTGCATCGTGCTGAGAGATGGTTAATCAGACAGAACATGCACACGACTAAAGAAGAGTCCAAGAAATGATAATCTACTACACTGACCTATAGGGAGGGAATGCTGACGTGTGGCCCCACCTGTGAACAGGATGCAAGAACGCGTCTGTTGCGGCAAACGTCTCTTGCTCACAGCAAATTAAATAATCATAGCTTTTTGATTTACGCACTATATTATTGCGGCGCTGTGCCAGATTAGTGCCATTTACCCGCAGTTCTTTCATGCCAGAGACTAGAAACCAGTGACTGCCGGTTGTCTGGTTTTCCTTGAATTTGCTTCACCTACTGAGAGACGTGATGAATCCTACTACCGGTGGTTTACAAAGGAGGCGGACCTAATGCGACCCCCACAGTTGAGCTCCAGGGGGTTTTACAATGCTGACCAGTTCTCTAAGCACAATTTGTAGCCTCGGAGAGCGACGGGCCGCATGTGTGTAAATATCTACAAATGTACACAGCTATCGCATCTTTCCCCGAAAAACAGGAAAGAAAACTAAAGAGGAGATCATCAATTTATTCCCACTTATCAGAGGAATTAACCCGCAAGCCTCGTGGCAACAGCCTATGGTAAGACCAACAGTTCTGGTGAATTTCTTCAAATAAACGTGCGTTGCTTGCTGATATGCAGTTGTGTTTGAGGCTTTTGGAATAGTATTTTACAGTAAAACCTTGGAAACTATTAGTTTTTCATCGACACAGCACATAGGAATAGTTCTAGCCCATATGCGCACATGGCACACTATGGCTACGGCGTATTGCTTTGTTTCCTACTGGGCGGTGATCAATAAAGAAAGAATAGCATGCTTGGTTCCCCTGAAACGAGCTCCAACTCCAGATGTGCCTTAAGGAGTCAGTGACTGCTGTCCATCTACTGTTCGACCCTGTACCAAAGCATGTTTTATTCTTTCTCAACGCGCGCTGGGTCAGTCTGGAAGTTAAACTCGCCTTGCAACAGGTAAAACCCAACAGCACTCGATGTTACTTCGCCCATGTCTTGGTATCTTGTGTCATTTTAAAAATCCCTGGTTTGTGTGAAACATTTTCCTTAAGTTTTCTCAGCCTACACTAATGTGTCGGTGGTGTCCTGTGCCACATGGCACCAACAGACTCGTCCTCCTACACCAAAACAATTTTCACCATTAACTAAAAGCTTTTCTGAATAACAGTTTATCACACAGACAACACTTTAATTTTTTCATTTTTATTTATTTATTTATTTTTGTGTGTGTGTGTGTTCGTACGTGAGTGATATAAACACTTGGCAGCCTTTACAAGCAGTAGCCATTGTTACTGTAGGAAGTGCTACTGTGTGGGAAGTTAATGTTGCACATTATCACTCTTTGTTGACTGAGTCTGTGTGTTTGTGTATATGACAATAGTGGATTTAGGTAACAAGGCTTTTTCTTAATGAGTGTGTGAGTGACAGTTATTTTGCCAGCAAAAATGTTTTGTGACCTATTAGACCATAACTTGCTGTTGCCCTGCTGTTTTGTCTAATTTGTCTTATGAAATGTAGAGGGGGAAAAAACAAAAACAAAGCTGCGACCAGTATTGCCTTTTATTTTAGAGCTGAAGCAATTTGCTTATTAACTGACAACCAACAAAAAATGTATCAACAGGTATTTTGATTATCATTATAGTTTAAGTTACTGTTTGTTTTCCTGCTTCTCATTTGTGAGGATTTGCTTTTTTCTTTGGTCTATGATAGTAAACAATGTCTTTGGTTTTTGGGCTGCTGGCTGGAAAAACCAGAGAATACCAACACTTCAAATGTGTCTATAGGAAATTGTGTGGGATTATCACTTTAGAGATATTTAAACAATAGATTGATAAATCAAGATAATCTGCAGATTAATCCGAAGTAATATTATAAACAACAATCACTTCAATACAGTGTATATTCTAATATAATTCTCATATAATTAAGAGTTTACAGGTATCTAGGCTTTAAGTCTATGTTAGTCTTACTTTTCTGTAATTGTTCAGCAGTTCTCCTGAGTTCCACACTTAATAGTAATATTATTATTATAAAGTTTAGAGATTTTGTCTTACTAGTGATTTTCAGACATTTTCAAGAAAGTAGGCTCATGACATTGCTGGTTTTGGAACCAGCATCATGGGTCCTATTGATATGCTGAAGGTGGTTTACATGCATGTTGCTAGTTTGAGTCTTTGAATATTTAGAAAAGTGATGAGTGTTCTTCCTGTGCAGTAACTGATGTTCAGATGGTGTAAACCAACACACTTAGCCCCCAGTTGCTGGATTGAAGGTCTTGACCGATCGTCATAGAAAACTGTGGCTCTACTGGTGAAAATATATAACTGTCTGAGTGTGAACATTATACAGAAAGGATCTTAGAACAGCAAACACAGTAAGATTGAAAACACTTAGCCAATTCTGGGATATAGAGACAGAATGTCTAAAAAACCTCTGTGTATTCAAGGTGGTGCAGCGGGGGTTTGTTTTTGACTTTGGCCCCTATCTAAACATTAATACCTTATATGGGTTTTCATGCTGGGTTCATCGCAATGAGGAATGAGCAGATAAGGCTGAGTGCGGTCAGTGGCCCGAGCACGTGGTCGAAGTGGCTGGCAGGTTGAGCAGGAACTGGACAGGTGCACGGTGTGTGGAGGCCAGTGTTTTACCCATGTGGAAGTAGCCAGCTGTACTCTTCTGTCACTGAAGAGATCTGTGAGCATGAGTGTTACGTGTCAGACACTGCAGAGGTTATTATTATCTTTGTCACTGAGCTCGTAATCTGTGAGGTTGAACCTGACCTTCTCATGTGCTGTTGTCTATTTATATTTGTCTGAATATGTAAAGTCACCAATTTTTGTAGATATTATGATTTTAAACGAGTAAATGGCATTTATTTAGGTAGAGAATATACTTGCAATGTCTTTGAGTGAATTGGTCTAATTAACTGACAGTTGTTTAATGAATACAGTGTTCTCTCTGTGAGCACTTTGATCTGAAAGAATGTACTGCAGAATGTGTTCGTTACTGCAAGCTTCCCGTTTCACACTACACATCGCTGTTGGATATGATGTTACTGTAAAAGTGAATATTGCGCTCAATTTGAGTGTTACTCCCCTTTTAATGGTCTAGTGTGAATATTACCATGTTAAATTTTAAGGATAAAAACCTGTTATAATTAGCAAATATGTCATGTATTTTTTGGTATGTTTAAGGCTTTTACATTTTACAAAACAGCCACTGGGTGATGCTATCACTGTGGTATTGATGCTGATCCATCCATTATCTATACCGCTTATTCCTGAATAGGGTCACAGGGGGCCGGAGCCTATCCCAGCCAACACTGGGCAAGAGGCAGGGTACACCCTGGACAGGTCGCTGGTCTATCACAGGGCTGACATCTAGACAAACAACCGAACACATACATTCACTCCTAGGTGCAACTTAGAGTCGCCAATCAACCTCAGCTGCATGTCTTTGGACTGTGGGAGGAAGCCGGAGTAGCCGCAGAGAACCCACACAGGCACAAGGACAATATGCAAACTCTGCACAGAAAGGTCTTGGATCAGCCCAGGCTCGAACCTGTGAGGAAACAGCTCTAACCACTGCACTGCTGTGCCGCCATTGATGCTGATAGTTATCTTAAAGCTGATCTGAGAATAGTCAAAGTGAGTCTATAGTATATTCTGATAGAGAATTGGTTTCCAGTGCCTTTGGACACACGTGATGCGAACTGGTGTTTAAGTCAAGCTTGACCACCTCTCATGTATAGTGTGTTCCTTTTGTAAACACTTTTCTGTGCTATAGCCTATACATACAGGAAAAAATGATGTACTGAGTACTTCTAAATATAAATCTATAGATGAAGCAGTTTGGATTGTGTTGACACTACGCTCAAGTGTAAGAGCTGCCTGAAATGCCTGCATGGGCTGTAATTGCTCAGTACATCTTGCTGTCACTTGTCATTTAGCTGGGTCTTTATAGAAAATGCCATGCAACCTGTCAACACATACATGTAATTAATGAGAGTTAATTGATTCCAAATGTAATCAAATTCAGTGGTGTGGAAAGTGAGGGTTAATAGTGACATAGTTTATGTACTAAGTTGTGAAAGAATATATAATTTATCTTTCTATCATGTCACAATAACAATACATTTTATAATCAGTTGCATTTAAGGATTGTTTTGCTCACAACTGTTAGGAACAATAACAACAAAATAAATAAATGAATAATCATTCCAAAAAAGGTTTTAACATTTGTTTATTTTAACTATTACAGTAAAAGTACTTTGGAGGATAAACAAAATACATAATTCTTGAGAAATGTACTATAACAATAGTGTGCTTTTCCACATGGTAGAATATATGTTGCAGGTGGTGGCCAACATCACAGAACATGAGCATGTGTTCCTGTGTCTCCAGCAGGCAGGTTGCTGAGGATGAGCTGGCGCTGCCAAGGCGCTCTTGGCTGAACCTCATGCCTGTTGCTGGTATGTCACCACATGGGCATGTTCTCATCTACATGTGCTTGCCCACTCACTTGTCCTCTGCCTCTCCTGTTTTATGTCCAGTGGACACAGTATGAGGTAGAAAACTGCTGAGATGCAGCTAGCGTTCATTCTAGAGTAAAATGTTTACCGAAAAGCGGTCTCTCCTATTACTATACCATTGAACAGATAGAAAAATCAAACATCAAACGCCCCTCCCACCTGTTCAAACATGTCAAGTGTCACCCTATACTATGTTCTTCAGATAGTCCAGGATCAACATTCAGTATCACTAAACAGCTTAGCCGTAAGAAGCGTGTTCCTTATCAAAGAAATCTGGTAACTTAGCCTCCAAATAGTGAATATAGTAAACTGCAGATATTCTTAAATAGAATATTTTTGGAACCTTTTACCTGCAAGAAACAGAGAGATGGAATTTTTACACTTGCTCTAATTATTTGAAATCAACAGTATAAGAAGCTCTAAGGTTTCTTTTGTAGCTGCAGAGCCATTGTATCAGCGGTCCCCTTTAACTATGCGGTGTGAGTAGCACAGAGAGGACACCGTGAACACATCTCAACTGCTGTACACTTCCGCAGCAAACAATGCACTTATGTATCTCTGAGTTCAGACTGTGAAATAGTGAAGAGGATTAATTTGTGTCACTGAGGCCGTGGGTGGCTATGACAGGTTACTGATGGTTCTTGACAGGTTGACAAGTACCTACTTACTTTCTCTTCAAGCCATGGTTACAGCAAATTACACAGTCAATAAGGAAAAACACTGATGGGGTGTATAATTATAGCATTAGAACAAAAACTGTTTTGCAAAGTACTTTCTCGATAATTGAAGGGTCCCTTGTTATGAGTGATTAAGGATTTTGTTTGATCACATTGTGCTTACATTAATCATTATAAGACCATGGTGTCATTATGTAGAATCTCAACATGATAGTGAGAATCTGTCAGCTTGTGACTTTAACTACACAAAAGACAAGAGTCAAGATTTTTATTTGGCATTTATGCATAAACAGACAGTCTAGGCATATAGGAATTCTTGTGCAGGGCTCTCCTGGAGTCAAGTAAAGAGTTTAAAGCCAAAAGAATGGACACCTAGTCTAAATATAAGATCACCCAAGAATACAAAATAGTTGATAAAACTGTGGATACAGGAATAAGATAGCAGGTAAAATGGGGAGTTTCAAATATTGCACATAGTGGAATTGTATATGGTCTTCTACTTAGTGGGCTAATGAGGAGATATTGCACAGGTTTTTCACATTTTGTATTTGCCATCAGTCTTACTGCAGCAGGGAAAAAGTTGTTGTAAAATCTTGTTCTGTGATGATACTGTCCGTTCTGCTGTGCCTGAGGTTGTGGGTGCAGTTTTTGTGTCCGAGCAGAGTGTGAGCTGGGTGGAGTGAGTCTCTGATTATGCTCTCTGCTCTTTTACGACAACGCTGTGTGTATATTGTGTCCATAGCAGGCGGTTCAGTCCCAGTGATCCCCTCTGCAGTCTTTATGACCCTTTGAAGAGCCTTCCTCTCTGTGTGGTGTTACCTTACCAGAGTGTGATGCCAGTGAACAAAAGTTAAAAAAACTAAATAGTCCTTGACCATGTGGTCCAGACTTGTTTGCCAAAGTCAATACTGAAGTTCTGGAAAAAGCAAAGACATTATGTCATAGTTTGGAGCATTGTGTTCCAGTCTGTGATCATTATAGTCCTCGTTGTGTTCTTTTCCGTGATTTTATGAAGTCCTGTTCTTATGTGTCTGTTCTTATGGTGTTATGTTGGTTGTTCTCTACTGCTGCTGTAACACAGAAATTTCCCCACTGTGGGATCAATAAAGTACCTACTATTTACAGCTTTGTGTTGTTTATGTTGGTGTGTGAATTGCCAGAATTTGGGTGTTACTAACCACTGCATCCACGCTAGAACCGAGTCACAGTTAAGCAGTTGTTGTACAGACAAATACTGAATAGAATGATTTGTATATACTGTATATACAATAAAACCTTTTCTTTTTTAATTATAATAATTTGAAGCCTGGAAGATATTCTAGTTTAGACTTAATTTCAAACAGTTATAGTATAGTAGAAAAGCAATACACCAAAGATGTACACTGGGTGAAGTTACAGCTGATTTCTTTGGATCAAAGTCAAAGTGAACAAAAAGTATTATATCTTTGCCAATATGGGAGTTTAACACTTAAACATTAAAATATAACTTATCTGTTGCACTAGGATTGCACTGGTGTGATTTGATCAAAGTACTGACATTGGTGTGGAAACATAACCATAAGGACTCAACAGGTTAGGACTTGATCCTGATTGGTTCATGGAAAAACTTTACATCAGCCTATTCCGACCCAGTCCAACCCACTTCTAACCAGGGAGAGGGTCACCATCTCCCATAACCAGAAGTGTTGACTTACAGAATATGTTTTCAATGCCTTTAACCTTTCAAAGTGTGCTACACATTGTCAGCGTTCTCAGTGCTACCTATGATCTCAATGATAAAGTATAAAGTAGCGGTTTGTGATTCATGTATTTTCTTCTTCTGTCTTAGATATTCAAGATTTTGAGTAACTGTAAAGCATCATCTTCACTGAACATATTCAGACATAAAGAAAAAAAGAGGTTACAACTTGAATGATGGAGCCTGCTCAGTCGGAGATGAATATATTATCCAATGGGAAGAGCCGTGTCCTCGGAGATGACATGGCCGAGCCAACAAAGACGCTGCTAGAGGAGGAGCAGTGAGTATTCTTTCTTTTGTCTCAACACAAATGAATGGCTTTGCTCCTTATGTACTGGTAATGGCTGTAACAAGGCATGTGTCCAGTACTTTTTATGCTGAGACAAAGAGCCAAATGCTTGTATGAAAACCACAAAGCCACTTATTTAAAGTAAAAATCAAATGATTTTTAGGTGAACTTTAAAAAAACAAACAACTGATTTATGTACATCTACCTTTATCCCTGTGAGAAGACCTGCCCATTAATAATGATCAGGATAACAGATGTGGTGTGATATACAGAATGACTTGGTTGCTGCATAATCTTAGCTTTTTAAATGCATGTTTGCCTTGTTTTTGTGTTTTTTTTTTTTGCTTGCCTCAACGGTTGGACCCTTATACAGAAATGGCACTCACACTGTCAGGTATGTCTGTGGCGATTTGAATGAAGGGTTTGCACACTGTATATTTGATTTCACGCATACAATAATGCAAAATAAATAAATAAGCTCATTATTTTAACTACTGTCTGTAGCAGTTTTTGCAGTTTTTGAGGGTGACAGAGAGATCACCAATTAACAGGCACAAGTTTGCCTCCTAGATTTGATGATCCTAATGGAGATCAGGAGAATGAGGAGTTTTTGCCCAGTGAGGGAAAGAAACCCATGCGCTTTACAGATGTAAGTGTAAACACTTGCAAACATAAAATGACATTGTGCATTTTGTTCAAATTGATTGGAAATGTATATCCTCTTGTTTGTTTTTGTGTTTTATTTTTCTTCCAGTTTGAAGGAAAAACCTCTTTTGGCATGTCTGTCTTCAACTTGGGGAATGCCATTATGGGCAGTGGGATTCTGGGATTGGCCTATGCCATGGCCAACACCGGTATACTCCTCTTCTGGTGAGTAAATACATTCACTCACCCAGAGGTGGCAGTTTCCAAAATATAAGCTTAAGTCTACCCACTAATAAAACAGGAAAAGTCACTTACGTTAACTTAGTAATAACTATTGTCAGTTTCTTAACACGTTGTCTTTCTGGGGACCTTAAGTTATAGCTGTGCTACTAGAGTGTGTGGTAGCATCTGTTAAACTGATCAACGTATTTGGAGAGCTGATAAAATAGAAACAAACACACAGACAAACTTAGATCTTAGAAAGGCCACAGCCTGGAATAACCAACCGTTCTGACCCCATGTGATGTGTCTGAGAACAAGCAGCAGTTGGTCTGGACTCAACAGATCAGTGCTAGAGCTTTCAAAAAAAAAAACAAGCTCCTCTAATGCTCTAATAAAGGAGGCAGCCCTTCATCTATTTCTGTTAGGAATTAGGTCAGTGGTTTAATATCTGTATATAGTTGGTGATTTATCTTTGCTATGTAGCAGTAGGAGCGAGGGACATTTCAGTAAATGTCATTTAAATGACTTTTAAAAGCATTTTCTAAGTGAAACACTACTGTGGGCTTCATTTCTCTATATGAACACTTATTTCACTTTAAAAGTCAAACTGTGAAATAGGAGTGTGTTATACATTGAAACAAGATTCCTACTACACTTTGTTGTTATTTATGTTATGTGTATTTATATGTTCTTAATACATGCTTCCAAGCAGATCCACTTAAATATTTGCCATATTTTATCATATAATCACTCGTGTTTTTAATTACATGTTTGTATATGTGTTAAGGTAGTAATCCTCTGCACAGTCAGAGACATCATAGACTGCTCATCCATCCAATTGGGTGCCAAAAGGAAAATGTAAAATTCCAACACACACCAGAGATGTCTAGATATAGAACCTACTTTATTGATTTGCATACATAATTGTGAGCAACGCCATATTTGTGATGTTTGTACATGTGTTTGAATACGGTTTTACTCTGATGTGTGCTTCTTTGTTGCCTCGGATATGTCTTTTTGGATGCACAGATTTGTGAAGGAGTTATAGCCTCTAGTGTCAAGTGAACCGTTGATCCACCAGCTGCGATACAAATAGACATTCTCAGTCCTTGTCACCATATATCCAGTGCAAGATAGAAATGAGCAGTCATAAAAAGCCAGGCACCTTACTGAGCATTTCCCCAGGGTGTCAGGATCCAGAGAAGGATGCTCTTTCATTTAGACACGTCATAAAACTCAGTGTGGCTTTCCCAAAAGACACATGTAAGCACTTGTTTGAGGGTTTACACCGCTATTGTAAGGACACTAATGATTGTTCAGTGGAATGCCATGGTTTGATCTCCATCTCTCTGCTTACTCACATGAGTAGCAGAGTTACAGTTTCTCACATCAGCTGTGGCTACACAAAATACAAATACATGTACAGAAATGCTGGGAAAGGTGGTGGATTTGGAGTCACCCTCTGACCCATCATGAATGCCGCCCTCAGAGCCCTGCTCAGGCCTCTGTACCTCTGTAGGAGGACCACTGCAATTGTTAGAGAGAAAGGGGTTATGGGAAATAACATTTTCATTCTTGTGTAGGACTAGTGACTGTAAACAACTGAATACATTTAAATGTTATTATGAAAAACTTGAAGAATGTCTCTTCTTGTTTATTTATTTCAGTTAGTATTGTCATATCAGCAATTTGTCTCCGTTGCTTCTAATTTTACAAGGACATTAACGTCATACATCATGACATAATGCAGTTGGAGGATGGCAGGATTATAATCCTATGAATATAGAATTTGTGGAGATATAAGATTAACATATAGTAAATAGGGGGCGTGTAGGTGTATGACTTTCCCTGTTGTATTGTGTCACAGGTTTCTGCTGACTGCAGTAGCAATCCTGTCAACTTACTCCATTCACCTGCTGCTCAAATCCTCTGGCATTGTGGGTAAGCCTCGTGTCATCTCTCAGCCTCATGTAAAGAAATATTGCATTCTGTTATAAAAATATGCAACTTGAAAGTCAAACAATCCTGACATCATCTTATACTTAATGACTATTTAGCAAAATTATTAGACTGATTATGTGGTGTGTGACTAAGTTAGCATTAAAACCCTGAAGATGACAAACCTCTCAATCACAAATGTAACGTTTTCTTTGCAATTTTTTCAATTGTATTATTAGTGTATTGCTCAGAAGGGTTGTCTCAGCAAACTAACTAAATATTATTGCTTGTAATCTGCTTACAGGAATTCGTGCTTATGAACAGCTGGGGTACAGGGCCTTTGGCAATCCTGGAAAAATAGCTGCTGGTATAGCGATCATCCTGCAGAATATTGGAGGTGAGGAGCCACTTTGGTTTAGTGAGTAATGTGTTTGCAAATATGTTGCACGTCTGTAAACTCCCTGCAGCCAAAAACATGAATTATACACCATTGTGATCTGACCACACACATTCACTTAAACAACCAGTATTACTTTGGCTTTTGTTCTAGGCTGTTCAGTTATTTACAGATGGGATATGGGGATCCTTTACATAAAAGACCAGGAGACTTGGTGGTAAACAGCTGTGTTCTCGGTGGCATTAACAGGGGTTCCCGCCACTCACTGAACAGTATGTGTGGCTGGATGTCTCTAACCAAAGCTTTGCTGAGACACATTAGACCATCATTAAGTGAATTCAGCGGTACAAAGACTGAATCCAGTGTTTTCTATTTAGCCTCTACAGGGCTAAAAGTAGGTCCAATAATTACAAATGAACTGACGTTGAGACGATCACATACTGGTGTTCTGATTGGCCTGCTGGTGCCAGTAACTAACCATGAGACAGTATTTTAGAAATACAGTTATAGTCTAAGATGATGTCATTAAATACAGTACAAAACCTAAAGTTAATTAGTTTAACATACAACAGGTAACTAGGTAATGTTTGTTTGCCATTTTTGTTTGGAAACTTACAAACAAGAGAAATGATAAATTGATTATTACAATAGTTGTCACTGAATTATCTGTTGACATGGTGACACAGCTTTGCTGATTATGTCTGTCCATTCAGTATGCTAGCATACTTGTACTTGAACATGATTGGCCATAATTTTCACATTTTGTCTGTCTTGTATTGTTGCAGCAATGTCCAGCTACCTGTTCATTGTTAAATCTGAATTACCACTGGTCATCCAAGCTTTCCTGAAGGCAGAGCCCAACTCTGAGTGAGTATTATGGTGAATGTGATTTTCAACATCAACATGTCTATTAGTGAAAGGCACATGACTCCTTCCTTTTATTTTCCTAGAGCTCGGACACTGTGTGCAGTGTCAGGGGCATGGTAGACTATGTGGGCAGCAAATACTTCAGTTTTGCACTAGTAACTGATTTGGTCACTCTGGGTGTATGGTGAAAATGGCAGCTTGCAATAGGATGAGCGATATGTGAGTCAGGCCATGGTTAGGTGTTTGTCATTTGTATACACACAATAGAACATCCTCAGGGCTGTCAGCCTATGAATGGAAGTGCCATTCACATCAGTCATGTCACCGACACTCTGCATAAGGCCATGGAGGGCTGAAGTGGATTCCAGCTGTCTCTTCAGATCTAAAAATAAACCTTGTACTCAAATAGGATTGCAGCGACTGCAGCTGTACATTTCTCTCTTAACACATCTCAGGCCTGGAAGGTTAAAAAACTTTCTTCAGAAATGCCCACAATATGTTTGGGGCTAAACATCTAGACAGTCTTCTTAGGAATCTTAGATTGAACATAACACAATTTATGTTAAACAACCTGGTTGTGACCTGACCTATCTCCCTTAAGTTCAGTGTGTTTTTCCAACTCTTACTTGTGGTTCTAAGCCTTCTGACTGGCATTTCATTGCCCTCTATCGTTGATACATTTTGGAGTGGGATAATGTCATACTTATAACTGTGTTTGTGTGTTTTTATGTCAGGATTGATATTCACATCTGGAGTATTATGACTCTTGCACAAACACAAATGACAGCAACAGGTGGTGTAACCTGGGTGCCAAATTCTGAGGCAGTGCATAAGGACAGGTCAACTCTGGGCCAGTTCTCAGTGACTGAGACACACACACTGTTCATGTCCAATGGATGAACCCTTTGCTGTTCAGATTCATGGCATCAGGAGAAGAGAGTGGAATGAGGGGCAGGTGGAGTTGCTGGAGGTTTATTTATGACCTGTGGCCCTTTAAATAAACAGCCATGCATGCGGTGAATGGACAGACAAGTACCTTTTACTTAAATTCTGAGAAAATAAAGACGGTTTCTAGCAGTAGATGGAGATGTACATATGCACGATATGGACACAGTGTTTTTTTGTGGAGAACTGTGGGGATTATCAATTAAAATACACAGTTTGCAGTCAGGCTAGAACTCACCTCTTTTTTTTATTTAATTGTATTTTGAGTTTTTAGTTTGGCTCATTTCCCATCCGCTAACGTAGAGAGGGGCGGGGTTTATCAACTATGCTGCAACCAGCCACCAGGGGTCGAATTATTTGTGGTGGTTTCACATTGGTCAGGCCCATCTTTATGTACAGTCGATGACAGCTGATGACCTAGTGACCAAAAGTCCAAACAGGGCATGAGCCCAAGTCTTTCCAGGCTTTGTAGCCTTGAAAACATTTAAGCAATGCTATCTGTGGGTGTCTTTGTTGTATGGTATGGGTGAGAAACAGAAATGGTAAAAAGAAAGTGAGAAACAGAGACTGTGATAGAACACACTGACAGGGGTAGTATTTACTGACTTCTTCAATGCTGTGCTGATTAGGCTCCACTGTGTCTTCTTTTTCTGCAACTGTAAACTGTTAAATAAATCACCCAAGTTATGCGACAGGCTCTTTCCAGTGCTACTGTCGGGATAAACATAAGCAGACTTATTTTTCCACAATCTTCAGGCCAAGGATTTCCCAGAAGGTCGCTGTTGTCCTGCGAAAGTCAACTATCATCTACTTGGGCAATTAGATTTTTAACAACTCGTGAAACAAGTGCTCTCACAGCATGCAAAATAGTACCAAAAGGTTTACTAAAAGTGCAACCAGTTTCTTACACTTTCCTCTCTATTTATGTCTGTGTGTGCTGTGTCTCTATGTCTATGTCTGAAATACTAAAGGTGCAACCAGTTTCTTACACTTTCCTCTCTATTTATGTCTATGTGTGCTGTGTCTCTATGTTTATGTCTGAAATACTGAACTTATCATAATCAACTAGACTTTTCTTCAAACAGTCTGTGGTACTTGAATGGAAACTACCTGGTCATCATTGTCTCTGCCAGTATCATCCTGCCCCTGGCGTTAATGAAGCAACTTGGTGAGTAATGCTGCAGTTCCACATTTTCTCTGGATTTTGTCTTTTACCACCTGCCCAGTATTAATTTTGAGACATCTGTAACACAAAGGATTATTAATATGTTGTAACAGATGTGAATGACCAGTATGTCCTAGACCTTTTAGCATTGGACACTAAAGACCTATGGAAGCCCATTTCTGCCAAGAAAAGGAAAAAAAATGGAAAAGTTAGTTTATAAAAATGCTTATGGTGATTAGGTCAGCATTGATATAGTAAGATAAAATGATGACACACTAAATCAAAATTAAGAGATTTTTAGTCCACATTCTAACCCACAGTAGAAAAAACATTTCATTGTCTCACTAAGACCTTAAAACGCACAAACCATGCAACAATTAATACTGTTTTAACCTTGGGCTGGTTTTGGTCTCAATGCCTGCTAAATCACAAACTTTGACATCGTGGGGCACCTTGGTGGCTTAGGGGTTAAAACACTATAAACTGTGGTGTCCAGAGTTCAGTTCCAGCTGGGTACAGATGTTCTATTAGTCAGTGACTTCATTGCCCTTCACTGACTCTACATTTTTCTGTTTTTATACACTTCTCAGTCTTAAACATTTGCTAATTCATTCTACTTTTGCTCTTTTTCACTGAATTTCAAAGCATTTTACATTTTACTGTGATGCACCCATACATTATGCTAGTTTCTTTTCAAGAAACATGTTCCATATTTAAGACTCATTTTTAAGATTAGAAGATTCGATTTAGGACTTGTTAATTAAGATTACATTTAATTTTGATGTTAAGCCAACTTATAGTAAATAATCACAATTTGGTGGAGCAGTTACCTCGAGGTCAAGCAATTAGTGTGTTTTGATCCCACCGCTGGCAGCAGAAACAGCAGGTGCCCAATTAGACTTGTTTCTGCCCTCACAGTGTTATAAGACATTCTGAGGTTGTTTTTTTTATACATAAGACTCATTAACTGAACAATAGGGAGTCTTCTGACTATAAACTTTGTGGACATCTTGTGTAACTAATAATGCTTGCAGCTGCCCCAAACAACACACGTAGCCCAAATAGATAGGTTCAGTTCAAGGGGCTGTGGCATTAACTTTCTCTTTCTATTTTTTTTTTCAGGGTACCTCGGCTACGCGAGTGGATTCTCTCTAAGCTGCATGGTGTTTTTTCTCACTGCAGTAAGTTGGTCCAGTTCAGACAGGGCCACATCATCACAGTGACTCTCTATAAGGAGAACATTTGTTCTAGCATGTCATCTTGGCACATGTTTACTTGTGTTTCCTCTCTTGTCTCTTTTCCACTCTCATCTCTATTTTCAGTGATACGTATATGGATATGTTTGATAAGCAGAGCTTATAGACTTAGGTCGAGAGGAAACGGCAGAGTTCTTAGAGGCTAGGTCATACTGATGTGAAATGGCTTTTTTGAGCTTGGCTGAGAGCTGTTGTTTACTGACTCTGACATGTGCTCTTATCCCTGCTTTTGCATCTCTCTGCAGGTTATCTATAAGAAGTTCCAAATTCCATGCCCGTTCGTGGCGTTCTCAGCCAACGGTACTGCTGCCCACCTCAGCCCAAACGTCTCAAGCTATGGCCATGAATATAGCAATGGCCTAGTTCACGAGGAGGATGACTCAAGCTGCTCCCCACGCATGTTCACCATCAAATCACAGGTAGGCAGCCAAGGCGAAGATATAGTTTACTTATTAAGGCCATAGACATTGAAAACTGAATGTGTACTCTATAGTCAGAGTTTGCACTGCTAATCATAGAAACTCGTGTGCTTATGTGTGTCTTCACAGACAGCATATACCATTCCCATTTTGGCTTTCGCCTTTGTTTGCCACCCTGAGGTTCTGCCCATCTACACTGAGCTCCGCAAGTGAGTCACCTATCTGTAACCTGCAATGTTTAATAACAGGTCAGTGCGGAATGTGGCATTCACATAACTTCCAACTTGCTGATTTCAGTGCCACAAAGAAGAAGATGCAGAAGGTGTCCAACATCTCCATCCTTATTATGTACTCCATGTACTTTCTGGCAGCTCTCTTTGGCTACCTGGCCTTTTTTGGTGAGAACAGTTGTAAATGGTAAATGGTAAAAGGTCTTATACTTGTATAGCGCCTTTCTATGCTTTTACAGCACACTCAAAGCGCTTTCACATTATTCGGCCATTCACCCATTCGCACTCCCAAGCACTCACGCATTCACACACCGGTGACATCACCGGGAGCAACTGGGGGT